AAAAATCGATTTTCTGGGAAAAATCTACTTCAAAGAGGGGCTCAGTTTTTTTTTTTTTTATGATTGGGTTTTTCTCTTTGCACTTGTTACCTTTTGGTGCATTATTGAATTATGTTTATGATACTTAGGTTACATCTTTTAGCCTGATTGCAAAAGCATAATATATGGATAAATTGCTTATGCAGTCCTGCATATTTACCATTGGTTTCACTTTGGTCCTCAACTTTTTTTCCACCCATTTAATTCTTCAATCTGCATTTTCATTTTCGTCCTTGTTCATAATCTCCCTCCAAAATTGGCATTAAGTTTGTGAAAAGACAATTTTGAAGAAAACTAAAAAATCGAAAAGACTAAAAAAATAAAAAAGGAAAAAGAGAGCCGTCTTCTTCACACCCGCCCTCATAGAACACAAACCTCCATCACCTCAATCGATTTGAAACAAACTCTTTTATAAGGATGTCTAGCTTAGAAGACATCTAAGCCTAATAGAAGTTGAAATCTTTTTCGAAGAGTTTTCGTTTAAAAGGACAAAATTGCTCCTAATGAGATGTAAAAGAGCTAAATGTCAAGTAAAAAAAAGTCGAGGATCAAAGTATGATCGACTCAAACGTCAAATACTTTGCCTGCAATTCCGACTTATTATAAATTAGTTTCTGATTGAATGTCATTTGAGTGGCCAAATAGGCACAATTAATGTGTATCATCAGTGGGTTGATTACCCCAAATTTGCTTAGATGACGCGAATGCTTACATGGTAGGAATATATTTCATAGTTTAAAAACATTTTTTAATCCTTAACTTTGCTTTATAAAAGTTCTAATCAACTTAGAATTTTCTTTTCAAACCTTGGAGTCACTCTTAGATTTAGATTTAGATTTAAGGGTCATTTGACAAAACTTTTATTTTTGAGTTTTTTGAGAAAATTATTTTAGGTTAACTTTCTTTTAAAGTTCTTCTAATCAGACAAAGCATTCTCAAAAAAAAATTATTCAAACAGATTCAAAAGTAGTTTTTTAATCTTTAAATCAACTTTTGACTTTTTAAAAGTTTAGCCAAATAGGCCCTAAATGTGTGGTGCAATATAAAATTTCCCAAATTTCAAGATAAACAATTACAAGTAGCAAGAACGAAAATTCTATCAAACGAGTCCTTAAAGCTTTTTGTGGCTAATCATGATTATTCAAAATATATACAATTATGCTACACGTACATCTTATTTGACATCATTTTAGATATTGTGTCACGTGTCGTTACATGATTTGACGGTTTTGGAAAAACACATTTTTCCGTCTATCACTTTTTGGATTCCCACACAATGTCAACAAAAGTGTATGCTATGGAATGTACGCTTAGGGCCCGTTTGATTAAAGTTATTTTCCATGGAACTTGGAAATTATTTTCCAATTCAAAGTTTTTTATTGTTTGATGGCAAAACATTCCCCCCACCCCACGTGACCCCTTTTCCACGCTTAAGTGAATTGGTTTTCCCACCGAAGTGGTGGAAAATGATTTCCAGGTTTTTTTTATTTATTATTATTTGCAATTGAAAAAAATTCTATCAACAATGGTAAAAAGAATTTTCCTTTTAATGGACAATTTACATGCAAAACAAAGTCAAACGAATGGTATTCAGTATGGTAATTTATATTTTATTTTTTATTTTTTATGGTAAAAAGAATTTTCCTTTTAAATATATTTTTTATTTTATTTTTTTTGCAATTGGAACAAATTCTAGACCCAATGGTAGAAAAAATTATCACTTTAATGGACAATTTTCATAAAAAATAAATTCAAACGAACACCAAACTTTTAACATTTTTCAGGTGAAAAATTATATCAATCAAACACAATTAATTACAATTCCCAATAAAATAATGTCTAGGCACAATTCCCTATAATTCATTTTCTTTCTACTCATTTTCCACATTCGCAATCAAACAGACCCTTACTTGGAAAATGTCACATCCGAAGAAAACAAATTTCACTTTGACCGTTTGATTGCAACGATGAAATGGAAACCGAATTCCAAAGTATAACCAGTTTATANAATCACTTTAAACTGCATTTTCTTTATTTTCACGGAAAACGAATTCATATGGGTTTGGTGGGTTTTTATTTTTCAACTAACATGGAATTCCAATTGGTTGTTTGATACGAAAGTGTAAATGAAGTTCGAATTTCAAGCTACATCCACTTTAAACTTGTTTTTTGCCAATTTCATGAAAAATGCACTCCTATGGGGGTAATTGAGGCCCTGTTTGGGAGAAATTTTAATCAAGATTTTAATCAAAATTCTAGCCGTTAACTATCAAATCAGCCACCATTTTTTACTTTCCCTCTCACTGGTGGGGCCCACAGGTTGACTATAACGGCTATAATTTTGATTAAAATTCCACAAAAATTACTCCCAAACACGCTCTGAGTTTTTATTTTCCAATTTACATGGAATTGGAAAGTCTTCCACCTTTACCAATCAAACGGACTGAGCATAATTAAAACATATATACTTTCACCTTGTTACGACTTCACTCCAGTCACTAGCCCTGCCTTCGGCATCTCCCTCCTTGCGGTTTTTTGTACTCATTTATGCTTCTAAGTCCACTCTCCAATGGGACTGAATAAATAGAAAATAATAATATTTCAGCTTATTGTATCAATAATGAATCACACAAAACCTTAAAGTTTGTTGATAACAAGAGTTGATGTTTCCACGGGAAGGAATTATCTTAAAATTTGCGAATAAACCTCGAACCAGTTAAATGTCTCCACGGTTAAACGCCCAACCAAAATCATGAAACGAATAAACTCAAATTTGTTGATAACAAGACTCGATATTTTCATGGGAAAGGAATCATCTTAAAGTTTACGATTAGTAAAGTTAATAAGCATATTTCATATAGATCTCTCAAGAATTATTGCAGAAGTTTTCAATGGGGACCATATAACTCTTTCAAAATTAACCAAATGGAGATGCAAAAGAAAATGATCATCTTCTCTTGTTTAAAAAAATCAAGCCAAAAAGAGATGATATCAGGCAAATTCCCTTTAACTTCCAATGGAAGCACTTCAATGTGTCAATTTGATGGAAAGCACAAAGGCAATGTTGATAGCTACTTCTCATGATATATATGTCATGTTCCATTTATAGAATATGCCCCGTTTGATCTACATTATTATCTCATTAAAATGAAAAGTATGACCGTTATCCATCACATCAACATTTAAATTCCAATTTTCTATCTCTCATGTGGGCCACAATAACGACTATATTTTTCATTCTTATTCTACAATAATTTGACTCAAATAGGGATATGTAAAATACACATAACCATATAAAAGAGGGTGTCGCATGGAACAGGATGGTGGAGGTCGGGTAGGAATAGGGGTGATGGCAGCAACAAAGTTGGGATTTTTATGTAAGAGAGACGAAAGAACACGTGCTACACTTGATGGTGGGGTGAGATGTGTTGAGAATTAGAAATTTTAATTGTACCATCAAGAGTAATAAAATTGTAGAAAAAATGTGTGTAAAAATCGCAAGATTTATCGAAATTCGTCCCAATGTGAGACTATGTTCTCTTCTATTGCTATAGTAACTCTACAATTTGAGAGAGAGAGACAGGCTTAAGAAAAATTAAACACTCTTATCTTCTCTAACCTCCCTCGATTTGCGTACTAATTCCACACGGCAACAAGAATTAGGTTCCATAATTTAGAGTTTGTTTGAAAGGAATTAAAATCCAATTAAAATTGAAAATATAGTCGTTATTGGATCTCACTCGTCTAATAAAAGTCAACAATAACGGCTAATTTTTTAATTTTAATTCGATTTTAATCTCTGCCAAACAAACTCTTAACAGGGTGGAGGGTAGGGGAGCAAAGGGCCATCTTCTGACTTCCACTTATAGGGGTGATGGCAGCAACAAAGTCGGGATTTTTATGTAAGAGAGATGAAAGAACACGTGCTACACTTGATGGTGGGGTGAGATGTGTTGAGAATTAGAAATTTTAATTGTACCATCAAGAGTAATAAAATTGTAGAAAAAATGTGTGTAAAAATCGCAAAATTTATCGAAAGTCGTTCCAATGTGAGACTACGATTTCTTCTATAGCTATAATAACTCTACAATTTGAGAGAGAGAGAGAGAGAGAGAGAGAGAAGCTTAAGAAAAATTATACACTCTTATCTTCTCTAACCACCCTCGATTTGCGTACTAGTTCCACACGGCAACAAGAATTAGGTTCCATAATTTAGAGCTTGTTTGGAAGGAATTAAAATCCAATTAAAATTGAAAATATAGCCGTTATTGGGTCTCACTCGTCTAATTAAAGTAAACAATAACAGCTAGTTTTTTAATTTTAATCCGATTTTAATCTCTACCAAACAAGCTCTTAACCAATTCCAACAAGGAGTAACATGTATAAGAACTGANGGTGGAGGGTAGGGGAGGAAAGGGCCATCTTCTGACTTCCACTAATATATTCCAAACACATAAACAATTCAAAAGTGAGAATTTCAATCAAATGATATGATCCCCACACAAATTCTTTGTTCTGGAATTCAATTATTCCTTTCATTTTCATTTAGACTAAAGTTAATTGCCAGCTTTATGCAGTATGGCAACAGATACAGGCCTGCTACAAAAGCTCCTTTACCCTTTACTGCTAATCAAATTTAGTTACAAACAACAAATTAATGTTTTCTGTTCTAATCCTAGCTAACCAAACATTAATCATAATTCATCAATTATTACAAGACTATATTTGCATACAAAGAACCCTAATTGTAGCCAAAGCTGCATCATTTTGCCTGTAGATGGCCCAACACTATTCTATCTTTTAACATGGCATATCCTACTTTTTTTTTTCCCTTTATCCTTCTTTCTTTCTTTGGTACAAAGTCAGGAGGTCCACACTTCTCCTATCTTATCAATATTCCTATTCTTTGCTTGCTAGGGTTTCAAATAAGCCAGTTGCATTAAACTACTATTAATGTTGCCTTATCTGGTAGTTCCTCCGAATGTCGGGGTCCAAAACAGGACTGATGTTTCGTGAGTTACCGGATAAGTGCTGGAAACCGGTACTAAACATAGCCCTCGACTTCTAAGATCTTGTCGCGGTCCTTGTTCAGGAACCTTGGATTTATCAGAATTCTGAAAATATGAGGAAGATATTATGAGATTTTTAAAAACTAACTAGATTACATGGTTGAAGATTAAGAATTGTAGTTTTATTAATTTCAAATCTTAATCATCATGACATTAATGTGATGCAAGACTATTTCTGTACCTGCTGGGGTTGTATTGGAGCTTCACTTTTCATGTATGAAGTACTTAAGGCCTGACATTATACAGAAGAAAATATTAATTAGTACAAAACCTTGATTTTATGAGCGAAATCTATCGCGAAAAATTCTATAATTTGTAAATGATGTTCTATAAGACTTACGCCGATTTGTTCATGTAGAAATGTTATGTAGTCAATAGCTTCAGAAAGCACGGAAGCCGTATCAGTCTGAAAAATCGGATTCAATATTTAGTCATACAAGAAGTTTTGTTTAATAATTCGAGATAAAGTGAAGAAATTTTTGGAAATTGTTAACATATACCTTTCCAAAAGGTGAAACTAATTGTTGAAGAGCAGTGATTCTGTCTCCCATCTTCTCTTTTCTCACCTAATCATGAACAAAGATATCGTCGTGTTATATGAATTAAGAAAAAACTGGAAATAATCAAAACTTCAACTTTTTCTCAAAGTAAAAGTTTAAATTACCTTAAAAGCTGGCAAAGGTGATGGCGTTTCATTCTTTGGCCTTTTATTTGATACTTGAGTGCTTGTTTTCTTTGCTGTTGTACCCAAATCCCGAATTTCTGAAATATTCTTTTGCAAAAAATGAACACGAATTTTACTATCTTAAACGAGAACGGGAAAACCCTAGTTAAATGTTTACAGGAAAACTTTAGAACATTTTATTACCTTCGGTTTTTCATCTAAGGCCGGTGTAGGAATTGGCGTTGGCAAGGAAGAAAGGAAGCTATGTGGAACGTCATCGGATGCGTTCCAGAAGGGAGTTTTATTGGTGAAATATATATTACCAGGAGGCTGTTTTTGAGGCACTGTTGTTCTTAAGAATGTCTGAGGAAATTCACCTGTGTTCGATCCGTAGTTCATTGGATACGGAAAATTCATGGGCCGTTTTTTGTATGCCGAATGATGTGGCTGATTTTCAGATAACAGAAGGCCATAGGCTGCGGAATCCACCGGAAAACTGGTGGCTAAACCCTGCTGGGATGTAATTGTAGTGCTTTCAGTTTCACCGGTGCCATCTAAAGAATAAACCCGGTTGATTTGCTTGTATTCATTCACATTAGAATCCTCAGAATTTGCAGAATATAATTTCTCCCTCCATTGATCTTGAGAAGGTGCTGCACCAGTTACTTGATGAAAATTTCTATTTGAATTGCTCAAATCTTCTTGAAGCATAGAACGAAAACTGCTCTCAGTTTTTTCTCCTCCACGACTGTCCAAAAAATCAAAAAAATTTCATTCATGCAACAAAAAATGTACTTGAAAAGTAAAAAATAAAACTGAAATTAACCTATTAGACCTACATTAGGGACTGGTTCCAATCCATGGCTTGAGAAGAAAGGCCTAAAGCCATCATGTGCAAGTTTGGGTCGGCTAATAAGGCGCCACCGGAAGATTGATCTTGCCCTTGCAACTTATGCGAATCTTGGAATACCATGGAGCTACCGGGAACTGTCCCGGTATCCACTGAAGACCTTGCTTTGTCATCCACCATTTCCATCGTCCATCCAAAGCTTGCTAAGCTATTTAAAGTTGTAGAAATCGAAGATTTTTGTGCTGATGATCCAGTTTCAAATCTGTTTCTTGATGTATCCCACCAGTTTCCTCCACTTCCTAGGTGAAATTCATCTGCCATGGCTGTGTCTAAAAATGGAACTCTCCTTTTTCAGTACTAAAAGTAGGGTTCTCTCTTTTCTTGATTCAGATGCTTATTCTTTTCAAGGTTGCCTCTCTTCTTAATTAGGTTTTGGCATAAATTTTTCAACAAAATGAAATTAAAATTGATTTGATGCATCTGAGTATTTATACCATCAAACCTAAGATATTAATGACCAGAATTCATGGTTGACTTTTTAAAGAGTGAATAGACAATTGAAAGGAAATGTCATTTGAAAAATTAATCCTTTATAAATAAATAGAATACTTGGACAAATAATCTTTCTTGGACATTGTCTAGTCAATATACCATTGATGCTACAAGACAAAATTTTCCACCTCATGCCCACAAAAAATTGTGTATTCAAAACAATTATTTTGGCAAAAATCCAGGAAATCCCCAAGAATAAAGTCAGCAATAATATTCATGTAATTGGATTGACCTACAAGTTTAAGGTTTTATTATCTTAATTATGTTGTGGACTCTAGGTTGACTAACGATCGAGTATCTTGTTCAACAAGTTTTTTGTTTCAAAGTAGATTGAGAGTTCAAGCTGATATTAAATTAGGATGAGGTAGATTTACAAGCCACATAGCTAAATAAGATTTAGAGTACTGACAATAATGTGAGTCCCGACCAATATACGGTGTCGTTAAAAGGCTATAAGTAACGCCATTTTCAATTAAGATAACTAGATACAAACTTGAAAAAATATACGTGATTGTTATACTGCAAAACCTATGTATTTAAAGAAAAGAAAAATACCCTTTAATTATTAAAAAAATAGACATTATTAATTTATTGCAACTATAATTTCTTTGATTTATAAATAGAAAAAAACTTATTCCTCCATTTTCGGCCAATTGCCCGAGCTTGTGATGATAGTATCAACTTGGCTTAATAATTGAGTAAATGGTCAAGTATGCATTTCTCGATATAAAATACCGACTATCTTCGCAATTTAGTCCATATTTGACCATCATTTTTTAAAATTTATTTTTCTCGAGAATTCATTTTCAACAATACATTTAATATGATCCACGACTTTTCAACTCTGCATTTCATGAACTATAAAAATCTATTAAAAATATAATTTTAACAAAATCTAGTCGGGACTTAAATTATGTCCTTTAAAAAATAATGGAATTCAAAGTGAATTAAGATTTTTTTTTTCCTCCTTTATTGAGAAGAAAGTTTCTATTTATCATAGTGGGAGAGTCAATATCAATGACTAATGCCATCAGATTAAATTCAGAAAGCTATGATCTAAAAATCAAATACCGCCAAATTAAAAGTAGGAGGTGAGTGGAGAGGGGAGGATGAGGTGGTGGCGGCGGCGGCGGCAGGCGGCAGTGATGGGCGGATGGTGATGGTGGTGATCATTATTTTGACTTTATTTAATTATTTTAAAAGAGTCAACGAATGGGGTCCACGCGGCAAACGAGCGTGCGGATACAGTGTTTAAAGATGAGCCTAAGGTCAGCCCAAAAGTGAATAAGCCATAACACACTTAAAAGCATTTCTTAATCTCAATAATTTCACATCACTAACATCATTTTCATTTTGTTTCCTTATCATGTTTTCAAGTCCACCTTCACAACTTTCCCATCTCAAATCCTCAACTTTTTAAAATATCTGCCTAGGGTGTGGGTAGGTGGGTTGGTATTACACCCGATACTATTATGTTACACTCAAGAAGTCATTTGTGGGACGATTTTATATTGATACTGTCATGTATATATCCTTAAATCGTGATACTTCAGATTTCGAATCATTCAAATTATGATACCTCAAATGTTGAGTAAGTAAAATAGAGAAGCAGAGTGGGTAGGTGACCTACGCAGCGTCCGAGATGTCGTGATTCGAGTTTCGAAATATCGTGATTTGAATGAATGATTCTATCACGTATGAATATAAAAAAAAAAGTATTTCTCGTCATGCAGAGAGGGTTTAGTATGTAATCTACACAATATAAACTTGAATTATTTTTCAAAATAGGTTGAAATGTAGATTTGAACTGAATATAAACTTTTAGGGCATGCTATATCTTTATATGGATTAATTTTTATTCCAATACATGAGGAGGTGCGCTTGAGTATAAGAAAATGTAACAACGGAAATTCTAATTCAATATTATACACCAAACTTGTCTCAGAATCAAATAGTTGTGTTTGTATATACTTTCAAACTCCAAAGATCATTCTGTCAGTGTGTGAATACACTTTTAATTAGAATTTAGAATAGAATTATAAACTCATGCAATACGTTTGAGCTAAGTATGCAAGTCAAATTTGTCATATTTTTAGTATTTCGCGATGCAAATAGAAAGTTTTTATTTTTTATTTTTTGAAGGTTGATAGAATTGATCTTTAAAATTTTGAAACATAAATAATCATTTATTAGAATCTAAACTACATAATGAAGCTTTTAAATTGAAACTAATTGATTTTATTATTGTTTTAATTTTTAAAACAATTTCTCTATTTTATTTGTTGAATCTCAATATGGAATTTTTTTTTTTTTTTGTGATCTTAATTATTATGTATGATTATGTGCATTTTTTTTTGACACAAAAGTAAGCATAATGAAATGGATAGAATGTAAAATAAGTACTTATAGATGGAAAATAAATTACTTTTTTTCCAATAAAAAGAAGAGAAAAAGGGTCATAATTTAGATATGTCATCATGCAAGAAATCATGCTGCTTAATTGTTGCATACTAGGTTTAATCCCACACGTCAGTCCAATAATTAATAATTATTGTGATCATATAGGTAACTTGGGTGTGAATCAAATTCTTAAGCTGTCTCTACTCATTTCTTTGGGGTCACCCTTTAAAAACCCTTAATTGTTGGCTAATTTGTCTTGATATATTACTATGTTTACAAATAACCCAACATTAGTAGCATGGCTATAGACTTTTATGTCTGGTGGATGAACGAATAATTCTGTTCGAGTTGATTAATTATTTGCTTAATTATCATTATATTTCCAAATAGGGTTTATGAGCAAAAGGCCGAATAATGTTATTTATCATCAGGGACGGATCTAGGACGGGATTACAGGTCGGGCTAATACGTAAAAAAAATAAAAAATTACACATGGTTTTTTTTTCTAACTAAAAAAAATCAGTGGGTGGGGGCTGGGCCCCTCCATCCGTCCTTGTTTTTCATCGTGATGATGAAATATTGATGATGTGACACTCATTTATCCCTCACATTTGTCTATCTCTCATGACCATTCTCTCATAAAAATTGAATTGTCTAATTCTATTATTTTACTTAGATTGTCACATTATCAAGAATTCATCATTATAATGATAAATAACATTATTCATTTTAATAATTGTTTTATGAATGGTAAGATGTTTATGTTTGAGTCTTATAGGCCATTAATCATCCAAAGTAAAGCTTAAAAGCATCCAAACTATGTCTTCAATATGTTCTATACCTGTAGAATAGATTTCTTTTAATCTTTCTTGTCATTTTTCACCTGAGAATATTTTTTATAAATGGGCTGTTATATATATCTTCAAATATTAAATAACATATCATTGCCCACAAAATGAAGTACAATTCAAAGTTGTGTATCAAAATTATTTACATTTGAAGTTAGGCAGTCGAGCAAACTTGAGATTTATCTACCAAACTAGATATTTTCTCAGCTTACTCGACTGTTACATAACAAAGTCGATACTTAGCATACTCGACTGTTGCATAACAAATTTGAGATTTGCCCAATAAATTTGAGGTTTTCCCGCAAATTCAAGATTTCACCTACTAACTCGTCACTTGTTTACAAAATTCGATATTTATTCATGAATTTAAAAAAAAAAAAAAAATTGTTGCTACTCCGTTATGTTTTATTAATTAGTTATTTAATTTTTCTAAGAATACTTTAGGCCCCTATTTGTTTCCACTCTTGACCTCTTTCTCTCATAGTGGGCCCCAATATTTTGAAAAAATGAGTAAAATTTTGATTTTTATGTTAAACCAATTTGAAAAAAACAAGGGCTAGATTAAAAAACACTCCCCTCAAGTCCGAACCGAGACACATTGAGAAGATGAGTCGAAACCGGCTCAGATTGCAAACCAAAAGCTCGATCATAAATTCTTGTCGAGTCGAGCCTCTAGCTTGAGCTTCCGAGCCGGCTTGATCTTGCTGGTTGCAGCCACTAGTCACCATATTATCTTTTCCTTTCCTTTTAATCATAAAGAAAAAAAAAAAGGAATAATATGTAGTTTTTACATCAGCATGAGGTGCACAAAATGACAAACTCGACAGATTTGTTTAAATTTCAATAAGAAGTGATGAGCTCAGGAAAATAGTATAAGTCTGACCATATGGGGTCCGAGTCAAGACTCAGTGCGTCACATTTTGAAAATTCAATGACTTTTTTCTCCTCCACATATTCTTTTCCACCCCCCAACAACATTTAAAAGTCAACCAGAAAATTGAGTAAAATTGATTATTAAAGAAAGAATTTCTTTTATTGCATATTATAAAATATGTTAGGCAATGATGATGAGGATGACAAGATTTAAAACTTTGAGGAATTAGGCTATAATTTCTAGGTTGTCACGAGATAGAGAGGGACGAGATTCAGGATGGCATCTCTTACAAGATTCGTATTCTTCCCAACTCTCAACCTGTCCTTCGCCAATTGGAAATGGAGGCAAGAGGTCGCCCAAATCCATGTTGATGGAACTGAGGCTGCTCCTCCAGAGAGAGTTGAACGATCCACGTCAGGTGACGAAAGTCTCTTATGAAGCCTCCGATTTTACGAAATATGGGATAGTATGGTAGTAATGGACGCAAGTAAGCTGGCTAGTGGCTCGCAACGGCTCAAACGGGCGGGGGCTCTCTATTTGCTTGCAATGCCGGCGAAGCTAAAATATACACAATTTAAATCAATATATTTACGAGCGGAATATGCAGTGGTTAAATCACTCTCTTAAATTGAGACTTGTACTGGTAG